GACAGAAATAGCTTAATTCAAATTTTTAGAAAAAACTCCAAGGCATGCAGTTTTGTAGGTCATTGAACTTAGCATAATAAAGAGCAGGTTTGAAGTGGCTATAAAATACCGCGAATTTTTGGCAATTTTTTTTTAATTGTTGATGGCCTTATCCATCTTGTTCCGTACAAAATAAGTTCGACAATGTGTCTAAATTGAGAAACTGGGCAACACCTTCAAAAATTTTTTTTAAGGGTGCTTCAAACATGCGGTTTATTATTCTAATTATTCTAAAATGTAATGGCCTACAAAACTGCATACCTAGAATTTTTTAAAAATGATTTTTACATATTACGTTATTTGTTTAGAATTTATAAAAATCTCAAATTCTCAATCAAAAAGGGGAGGCAGAAAATTTTAATCGATTTAAAAAAAATTAAGGGGAATTCTACTGATTTACAAAGGAAACGATCCCCCGCTATAAGAATTTCGAAATGCAATTTTTTTTTTGTTTTCGCTCCACCCTAATGCACATATCATATGCATTTATGTATATTTATAATAAAATATATGTCGATTTGTACGACGCTTCAACTGAGTTACATTCCTTTGCCGTGGATTGCTTACTTAGCTACTTTAAAATACTAGTCTTTAGCTGCTGGAAATTTGCAATAAGTAGTTTAATGAGCACCCGCTGCACTTTGCTTTAAGCAAGTTCTTATAAACTTTAATTGCTATTAAAATACCAGTTAAAAGATGTTTTCTCCTCTGCCATCAAGAATTAGATATGTATTTATGTATTCTACTAGCTTATCGCTTTGTTACCTGTCAACCGTTTGGCTTCACTGCAAATTTTATTCGTTATATCTGTTGACAACTGCCGGCAAGCTGTCAACCACCCCGCTCGATTGAACTTGTGGCAATTCAGAGCAGCGCTGTAAATTAGATGACAAGCCATAGCTGACCACTAAGCATGAAAATGATTTTTATTGGCTATTTAACACTGAATTATTGCACTTCAAGTGAAGTATGCAAAGAATTTATGTGACAAATTGCGTCATAAGATATTTCTTATAAAAAAGTAAGTAAAGGTGTTTAAAGAATAAAATCGAGGGTAATCAATAACTATTTTTAAAAAATTTAATTTAATTAATTAATAGTTTAAACACAATATTACAACAATGTGGGTACACGAATGAAAGAAGCTAAAGGCATGAATTTCGCAAATATTTTTCAAGAGGGTTGCCACCTGTTGCCAAAAAATTTAAGACACTTTTCTTGCCTAGTTAAAACAAATATTTTAAAATGGCTATCAAACGAGAGAAAGACAGAAAACTTTATTTTGAAAATGGGTTTAAAGGGAGTTGCCACCTGTTTACACATTTAAACATTCGAAGTCAATTTAATTAATAAGTTAGACGAAATATTTTAAAATGGATATCAAACGAGACAGGTTTGAGAAAGATTTGTTTTGAAAATACTTTTGAATAGAGCTGCCACCTGTTCGAAATCAGTTCAATTAATAAGCTAAACGAAAACATTTAATATGGGTACAAAACGTGAAAGGATTAAGAAAGCTTCATCTAAAAATAGTTTTGAAGGACGTTGCCAACTGTTTAGAAATTCGCAATCAATTCAATTAATAAGCTTAACGCAATATCTTTTTATGGGTATTAAAGGAGCAAGGTTTAAAGGCTTAGTTTCGAAAATATGTTTGTATACAGTTACCCCTGCTCAAATATTAAAATCTATTTAATTAAAAAGTTATTTGAAACAATTCAATAAATGTACTAAGGTGATTGACTAGGTTTTTTCAAACCGATTTGAGCTGGTTTTTCTTCAAAATTTTTGGGTTTTTTTTTGAAGTCGTGATTGTGCGAATATCGAATAAATCAGAGGTTATCGAATTAATCGGGTTTTTCAACTAGAAGTAACTTCATTATGATAATTAAAATTTTTTTTAATTTGTTGAAACCACAAACATAATTTATTTACCAATCTTGCTTAATGTTCTTCATATCAACTACAGAAAATTTCGTGTGGCTGATTTAATGAAAATTATTGAAAACTTGGAGATATTTCAGCAAAGAATTAAATTACAATACACAAATCCGTCATATCATCTACGTGCTTTATCCTATCATACATATATCAGATTGAAAAAATTATACTCAAGACTTGAATGATCAAGCCCGCTGGGGTTATATGAAACCAAAAAAAGAGTTTCAAAATTAAAATAATATCAAACAAAAGTTACGAGCATCATTGACCTTAGACATATGTAAATACGATAACTTAGCTGGCATAAAAACCATATATTTTAAAAGACAGCAACAGGTTTGCTGGTGACATAGATATGCATGCATATAATACGTAAATACATATATACACATACATATAAGTGAATAATACTCCGCATATCTAAGAGTGGTCAAACATTATACTATATGTGTATGCATATGTACATATATGCCAATTAATGAAGATAATAAGTACTTATAAAAGTATTAACACCACTCGAATATTGAGGCGTCACCCAAAATGCCAAAGCCATTCAAACGCATGACACCAAACTGAAATTGAAACGCATCAGGTGGCACTGCGCTAAGTTTTAAGCACAAACGTACATACACACATATGTAAATGTTCGTTGCTGCATGTGAAACCTAATAATTATTGTCGTTTGGCCATTTGGTCATTTGTTTGTATGAATGTAAATACGTATGAATGGCATTTGCATTTTTCAGGGAGGGAACTTTTTATTTTGAATAAAAATATTCTTTATGGTCTGCAGAAAAGCATTAGCTATGTATGTATGTACAAAGGCCTCTGCATGACATGTTCAATTGACGAGTATAATTATGTATAATGCTGACTACACACGAGGCAACCGTTGAAGCAATCAGGGCATGTTGGCATAGTTGGTCATAGAAATTCGTGTTGCCGCAATCGTCGCCCGAAAATCAAAATATTTTGATATTTTGTGTTGGTTGGCGTTAGAGTCCGACCGATTCCAATTTTTCTTCAGGTACCGATGCCGATGCCGATTAATCGGTTGTTGGGGAAAGAATCGGCCGATGCCGATGCCGATGCCGATCATTTTGTTTTGTACTAAAAAACACTCTCTTGCACTCAATGCATTAGAAATTATATGCTAGGTTTGTATGTATGTATGCACATACATATTTTGACCGGCTTTGGCATTTGGCATTTGTCTTTTGTTTATTTAATGTTTATTATTTTTTTTATAAAAGTCTAGCTGGTATATGACAAACACCATATACATAAATCCAGATTTTAAAATTTGTACAAAAATTAGAAATATTCTGCTTATTTTCACCAAAATTTCAAACTTTTTAATCAGAATTTTGGTATGCAGTTTTGTAGACCATTTAATTCTAGTATAACGACGTGCAAGTTTCAAGCTGCTATAAGATCCCGTTAATTTTTGTCAATTTTTTTGTTGCCAGTGTCCTCCATATAAAAGCGAATTGTCGAACATAATTTTGTATGGAAAAAACGTGAAACACCTTCATCAAAAAAAAAAAGAATTCATTTTTGTGAGCTGTATGCAAATGTGTTTTGATGTTGGCGGTTGTCTGTCGCTTCACCTGAAATTATGAAAAGAAAATCCAAAGAATCGGCAAAGAATCGGCGAGAAAAGGCTCAATTTTGTGCCGATACTAGCCGTGCCGATGCCGATTAATCGGTCGGACTCTAGTTGGCGTATAGGAAAGTATGGTTGCCAGCTAAATGAAAATTTAAATATAAAATTTTTTAACCCTCTCAGTACAAAAAATCAGCCGCTGAAGCTAAAAATCTGAAAATAACTCTCAGTTTTACTCGTATTCTAGATTTGTAAACAGGGAAGTGATATTAATAGTTTTTATTTTACGAGATATATATGTATTTCAAAACTGCGAATAACATTCAACATCTTTTTTTTCCGATCTCAATTCCACCGAAAAGTAGTAAATTTGTTCCTAAATATTACACAATTCAATATCGACTTTTGTGACACTTTTCACTTTTGTGAAAAATCACGGTCAACTGCATCCCGAAATACAGTAAAAGAAATGCGGTAAATAATAATAATACTTTTCATACAACAACTATTATTTTAAAAATAAAAACTCTTAATTAAGAAAAAATAATACAAAAAAAAGTTTGTCCAATATATTTGACAATTGTACTGAAAGGGTTAAGGTATAAATACCAAAAGATTTCTAAAAAGTTACAACAAAGGCATTATTATATTAAAATAATCTTAGAAGTCCGTCATAAGGGATTACTTTAACGTTAGGAACTACACAATAACCAGGTGATATAAACGCTGGGTATTTAAATTTAACTGACCTGCAGTAAGAATATTCACAAGCGTCCCTACGAGCTTTCAGTTTATATAGGCATTATGTGCAGTAAAATAGTAGTAAATTATAGCATGGAGCTCTGTAGATATGTATGTAAGTTAAAAAATGCATAAATGCATTTTTACATACATACATATATTTGTATGTACACATAAGTAGAGCAACGTTTAGCGAAGCAGAAATGATAGGCGATGTACACACAAGAACTGCATTTAAGCTAAGTAACAAATAAGGACAAGCAAAGAGCAACTAGTTAATTAAAAATCCATATGTTTTTGTCCCAGCAAATTGTAAGTGTAAATAATTTTGAATAATGTTTTTGTGCTAAATTTGTTGGTAGATGGAAAATTATGAAATTGAGTTCATTGTCGCTATATTACACCTGCCATGCATTGGTGTAAATTGCTGGCTGCACAAAATTTCAACTACGAAATAAACATCGCCCATCATTGCTGCTTCGCTCAACGCTGCTCTACTTACAGACATAAATAGCTGCGTTAACACTTTTCCATGGCGTTCAGTTGAACTGCTGAAATTTCGCTTGCATTTAATTTCCATTTTCGACCTGTATAAAAGCGGTTGCGAATGCGGAAATCACCAGTCTAGCAATTCTTTCATACAGAGAAGATCCAGTAATTAATTGATTAGAAAATGAATTCTCTCATCAGCTTCGTCGTGTTCGTAGTTATCGCGGTTGTCGGTGTAAACAGCGCAAGGACTGATAGTAAAGAGGGCATGGTGTCCTCATCCTATGGTGGTGGCTATAGCAGTGGATCTTCCTCATCTTATTCTGCCCCAGCTCCAGCTGCAGCGCCGTCTTGTGGTGATTCTTCGTCATCCTACTCAGCGCCAGCCCCAGCACCAGCGGCAGCGCCATCTTATGGTGGTTCTTCCTCATCCTACTCAGCACCTGCCGGCCCAGCTGCCCCATCATACGGTGGAGGCTCGTCCTCATCTTCCTCATCTTACTCAGCACCTGCTGCCCCATCATACGGTGGAGGCTCGTCCTCATCTTACTCAGCACCTGCTGCCCCATCATACGGTGGTGGCTCGTCCTCATCTTACTCAGCACCTGCTGCCCCATCATACGGTGGTGGCTCTTCCTCATCTTACTCAGCACCTGCAGCCCCAGCCGCCCCATCGTACTCTGCTCCAGCAGCTGCAGCATACCCAGCGCCGCCATGTCCAAGAAATTATCTCTTCAGTTGCCAGCCTTCCTTGTCGCCAGTAGGGTGCAGTTCGTCCGGTAAGAGCGGAGTATATGCTTCGGCGGGCGCTTACTCCCAATATGTGCCATCGTTCGTACTCCCACCAACTCGCTACGACAACTAAGCTAGACGGAATCAAAGACAACTGCTTAGGACTTTATTTGAACACCAACAATGCTTTCATTATGATTTAACTATTATTTTTAATAAATAATTTTTAATAGAAAAAAGTTTTTATTGTGGAAAATGTTATGATTTTAAATAGTGTTGCCACACATCTAAAAACTAAAATGAGGTAGATATGTAAATATATAAAGCATGGCGTAACGTATGTGCTTAAAGAAAATTTTTGAAAACAACTATCAATACAAGAATAGGCTTGGATAGGGTTGCCACTTGTCTAGAATAAAAAACTGAATTGAATATGCATGAGTAAAATATTAAAATATGGCTAGCAACTATAGGTGTTTGAAAGCTTTAATCCGTCCCTATTTATAGATAAGATTGCCACCTACATATAAAAAAAAACTACATATATTCCACAAAATTGGTATCTAAAGATGATTAAGAAAGCTTAATTCTGTGGCCGCTGTGGTGAAATGGTTAGCAGTTCGAAATATAGAAAAAAGGGTTTTCCTTAACAGCGGTCGTCCCTCGGCAGGCAATGCCAAAACTCCGAGTGTATTTATGCTTCTCATAAAAATACAATTGCCGTTCGGAGTCGGCGTAAAACTGTTGGTCCCTCCGCTTTGTGTGACCACATCAAGGCGCTCGCTACAAGCCGGAGGCGAATCTCGGCCAAACCCTAACATACATTATTATTATTATTATTATTATTATTATTATTATAAATTCTAAACTAGAGACGGACTACGCAGAGGATATGGCAGCAGTTATTCGGGCACGAGACACTCGAGACGCCCAACGAAAGTTGACGCAAGTAATGTTACGAACACAAGGCTGGCTTTGCTCACATGGGCTCACATTAGCGACAGAATTATTACTCTTTGCCAGACGGAAAACCCATTTGGAAATAGAGATGCGGGTGAACAGCGCAATTCTAACAACCTAAAAAGTGATGAAATATCTCGGAATTAGACTAGATTCAAAACTGACATTCAGCGAACAACTAAAATAAGCTACAAAAAAGCTGCGAATGTAATAGCGGCATTAAGTAGATTAATGGCGAATACAAGCGAGGCGTAAAATTAAAAACAAAATGCAGAAGAGAGCCTTTCATTGCAATGCAAAGAATGATGTCTCTCAGGATAACAAATGCATACCGAACGGTAGTATAAATTGCAAAATGTAGGTAGCGCGGACTGTATCTATTGCAATTGGCTTAAAGACGATGTAGAACGTACATTTTTCCACTGTCAGAGATGGAACAAAGAACTCGACGAAGTGCAGGCACTCATTGGAGTGGTCAGTCCTGAAAATATTATTGATGTTATGTTACAAGACGAAACAAACTGGGACTCTCTATATTAAAGATATATTTATATTAATATCTAATCTATATTAATATCATTTGCAGATCTTTCATTAGTCACTTGAAAGGCGGTAAATAGGTTTCAAGATGACTTTTGTCTTTCGCAAAGACTGTGGTTAGTTGAAAGAGGGTAGCCAGAATCGCCTCGTTAATTTTTCTTAAGTCATAAAGTATTTAACAATCTACTTAATACTTTAGTAATTTAATTGGAGTATTTTGCATCTCTAAGGTACCTGAGTACACTTGCATTTTTTACTCTAATTCCCTTTCGTAATCCCTACATTTTTTTATTGCTTAGCAACTTCTAAATACCAATTTATTTTTTACTTGAGCATTTAGACTACTCCAAGTACTAAGTAGGTGGGTATCTTGTACCCAAACAGGCACTTACATTCAGACGATTTTGGTAAGAAGGTAAGAAAACGTGATCAAAATCTAAAATATATTGGCTGCCTGCCACTTTGTAGACAAATCTGGTGACATTGTTATTGTACACGTATCATAAACTACCTTCAGTCAGTTGTTTACATATCATGCAACTACAAATATTAAAGTCATTCGTAATCCTCTAAAATTATTATGAAATTATTACGAAAACCATTCAGCAGCTTTGCATGAATGCAACACTTGCAACACCAGCATTAAACAAACAACACCCTCAAGCAAATCATACATACATACAAAGCAATTTGAAAGCGTCCAAGTAAACAATCACTTAAAATAATACGCCGAACCATTACACAACGAAAGAATAATCAAAAAACGAGAGATCAGTAGTGGTCAGAGGGTAGTTGAGGTGGTGGTGGTGATGGTGGAGTTCACCCAATTTGCCGCAGGGCGAAGACAAGCTCGAATCGAAGACGTTACGACGTCGTTATGGCGAAGTCGTTTGAGTGAATTCGAAACGAAGTCGTTTTTTTTCATTCAAAATGCAACGTCCGACGTCGTTTTTTCTCATCGAATCCTCGAACGTCCCTCTGGTGAAGTCGTTTGGGTGAACTCGAAACTATACAAAATGCAACGTCGTTCCGAATTCGTTTCTTCGAACCCACAAGTTTCTTGAGGAACCCTCGGCCTGGGTTGGACAAGTTCCACGCCCACATTTTTATATATCTAAGCATAAACAAAAGTCACACATTTGGATTGTAAACAGTTTTTTTTAATGTCAATTTTTTATTGTGACATAATATGGAATCCACAATGTACACTTGTGCTCAGAAAATTAAGCCGACTACATGTTTTTTCAGTATTCATAATATTTTTCATATAAAATTTTAATTTTAATTAATTTTTAATTTTAATTTTTTTTTATAAAGTTAGGTACAGTTCACTCTATTGGCCTTATTAATAAAAAATAAAATTTGTGGGTATGATTTTTTTTTTTAATTTGGTATAAAACTGCACTTTTACTTTAAATTAGGTACTAAATTTTGAGCATCGTTTTGCAGTTCGCTGGTATATCGTTTTTGCGGGCTGCAGCGGAGTCGTTTTTGCGATCCGCCGGCGAGTCGGAAACGACGTCGTTTGGCAAATTGGGCAGTAATCAAATTTGCCGCTGCTCTATTTCAGCTAATAAATTCATAAAGCTACAACAGATTGCGGCGATTCGACACAGCATACAGTGAAAAAGTGAATGACAGGGAAGTACTTACTTACCGACATGCATATGTACTTGCATAGGTATGTACATGCATACATATGTATGTCCGTTCAACAGGCTATTCAAAAACTGCATACATTGCCCGATTTTTTTATTATTAAATCTCAATGGTATGTACTTGTATGTAGGTATACATAACTTTGTGTATGCCCTCAAAATGAGATCAACGAGCCCGCAATTAATATGAAGTAATAATTTTTGAACGCTAAAAACAGCAAAGCTATCGATATTTTTATTTTATTTTTTTTTTTTTTAAAGAAAAACTTTAGGTAATTTTCTTTGTTTGCCCTTTTGAACTTTTAATTAAGCCCTTTTGTGTACTTACTCTACCAGCATTATTTGACGAATATGAGCGTGTGCGCATGCTTTACCTAAAGCGTTCCTAATAAATAAAAAAAAAAAATAGTTGGCTTTTGACCGCAATTGGCTCTGAGTTTAGGCCCTTTTGTTAGTTTTAATGATGTTGCAAGAATATACACATATTAAGAATTGATACAATGTATAAGACTAACTGCGGGATACAAATATTTTCCTTTTTATCATACTTATGAAATCCGGAACAAAACTTTTATGGTGCGGTATGTATCTCAATCTATTTATTTACTTGTATTTATTTATAATTATTTTCTAATTAACTTTTCCTCTGGGGTTAGCTCGGAAAATCGAGTAGCAGGTACTCGTACTGCCTACAGGGATCTTCTTAATTATATGAAATTTCTACCATGAAAGTTCGCATACCTGGAACTTCTTTTTTTCGATAAAAAATTAAAAAAATATATTTCACCCCCAAAACAATATTGAGGTGTAAATATTGTATGAAATGACCCATATTTACGTTCCCGGCCAAACCCGATCTGAGTACGAACTAGTTTTTCCTAGGCACCTACGACAACTAAAGTTTAAGAGTTGGCATTTGAAAAAGTAACAACAAGTTTATAAGGCGAACTTAGCGCAGTGGGTAGAACGCTAGCTTTGTAACTGGGGCTGCTGGGTCGAATCGCAGTGACCGAGATTAAGAACTCTGATGAGGAGATGTGGTGATTTCCGAAATAGCGGCCTTAACTTCTGCCATTTATAAGCTATTGTTGTTTTTTTCACAATAATTTTTCATATAAGATGGCGTCAAGATCAATAAAAATTGTTTAATATGTGTAAGATTAAAATTAAGATTAAGATTCAGATTACGATTAAGATAGAGATTAAGATTAAGAATAATATTCAGTTTAAGAACAAGATTAAGATTAAGATTAAGGTTAAGATTAAGATCCAGATTAAGATTAAGATTGGGATAAAGATTGAGATTGATATTAAGATTGAATTAATTATTAGCTGTGCGAGTGTATTTATTTAAAGTTAAAACGCGCGCTATTCCACACCCTCCATAACTTCCTTAACTTCGTCTATGCTTTTCAGACCAACATACAATATTTATTCTTTCACTGTCAATTAATTAATAAGAGTATACTTATTTACCAATGTTACATTAGTGGTTTTTGGTCGCAGCACTTTGATCACCAAAATTCATTTTAGACTTTAAATTTACATATATATATATATATATATATTTATATACATACAAGCAAGTAAAAAAAATATACATAGCCACAAACATATAAGAATTCATTGAAAAGCCATCACGAAAAAAAAATACCACAAAAAATTTTGTGCGCAGGTGCAAAGATATTTGAAATTCCATGCATGCCATGTAAAATAGCGAACCATAGCGTTTGCTCTTGCCACGTTCAGTCGGTAATGGTTCATTGATTCATTGTTGCATTGAGAGGCGGGCGCATGTGCGTGGTGTGCATAAGAGTACTATGTACGTAGCTGAATAATCCAAGCGGTAGTTGTTATATAGATAACTAAAAATTTCCAAATAAATATGCAATTGTATCGGCTGTTAAAAGTGCGTTAAGTTGCGGTACTTTGGAATGCTAAAAGGCACTAAAATGCGCAAAAATGTTGTTTCTTC